TTATAAAATTATTTTTTTTTTTCAAAAAAAAATTTGTTTAAATTAATATTTCTGATGATCAAATCTTGAATTGTTAGGCAGCATAAGCATGCATGCCAAATTTCAACTTACTAGGATGTTTAGAAGTGCTCTAAATTAAGGTTTGAATTTTTGATGACAGACACACACGAAACGAAGTCAAGAAAAACGTGGTAAAAATAATATACATTGACAAGAAAATGAAAACTACGGGTAACTCTAAAATTACCGCATAAATTAAACGTAAACAGTAATTCCATGTGTAAAGAAGATAAATAATTGTCACATTAAATTGTCATATTAGAGTATAAAACAAATTGACCTCACCAGTGGAAGTATAATGTTAATATTACAATATAGTTTTAGATTGCACGTCTACAAAAAGAAAAATAAAGAAATAGTGATGAATAGAATGTTATCGTTATATCTTCTGAATTTTATCGGTTGTAGTTCTATGCATCAAATTGAATAAATAAGTTCCATGTAGAAAATTCCAAAATGACTGATTTAGCGGAAGAATAATCACCGAAACAATTCAAATAAAGGATAATACCTTCGCATAGGATGAACACAAATGCCACAAACAAAATTCACCTCTCCTATATGCGACACTGACGGCCTTTCTTATGAAGCTGGGAGCCCTTGGATCAAGCTGGGCGGAGAAAGGAGGTCCATGGCCAACACTCCAGTCGTCGAGGTCGGTCAGATTAAAAAAACTCGTGAAGCCTTCGATGTTTTTTCTGTGCACGTTCACGTACGTGGGACCCGTGAAGATGGGGGCGTTGTCGTTCACGTCATCGATTTCAACCTTCAATATATATAAAAGAAAATATTGATATAAAATTGACATATCGTGCATTATGAATGAAAAATAAATCTTATGTTGAAAATCCTCACTTTTCTTGAATTGGACAGCAGAAAAATTATCTAAATACAGTGAAATATTAATTGTGTTAGTGCTTGTGACGATTGAATTATATATTATTCGTAACAGCAAATATGTTTATCTTCTAAAGAAACTTTATATCCAGCGAAAATTAGGATTAAGTTTAATGCTGTATATGAAAAGTCAGTGTACATAATTTGGAAATTAATTCAGCCAATTGACTTGTTGGAGTTTTTGTGACCTTTTCTTGCAAATGCTCTTCTATTCTTAAAAGATAATTACTAATCTCTAATGTTTAACGTTCGAACAAAGTTCGTTAATTCACGCGGAACTAAGTCATATATACATGTATGTTGAAATAGTGAAGAGCAAGTGTTCAGTTGAAGAATTACTTGCTATTTACAGTCTTGTCACTTACGGTTTTGCCACTTACAGTCATGCCACTTGTAATGAAGTACTATGTAAATTTCCCACCACTGATTATATAAACTTTATCAGACCGCTAAGATTAAGCACGACCAGCTCTGACGTGGGTGATAAATTGATTGTGACCGTCAGATAAGCTGCTGATCCCGACTTGTGTACTGGTTCCTCTCTTATAAGATCTTGACTCCGAATCTAGGGTGAGCGGCGTGAAATAGTGGTGAGATGGGAAAACTTCGTGAAATATCGTGATTTTTGTGAATATAATGGTTTGTCATGTGTAGTTATTTACTTTTTTCTGTTGAATGATCGTACGTTTTTTCCGTTGTATCTGAATTGCTGTAATTTGCCGTTTTTAGAATACATTGAATTAAGCTTGTTTTGACTTGTCAATCCGTCCAGTCCAAGCTATTGCTAATCAAGCCAATGGGGAAGTATCTTTTAATTTCCGGTCATTGGTGGGCGTGACAATCAAGACCATGCGAACTTTTAAGGTGACGCAATTGGTCACTCGGAAAGTCAAGGCTAGTTAGTCACACCACTTATAGTCTTGCCACTTACGGTTTTGTCACTTACAGTCTTGCCATTTACAGTCTTGCCACTTACAGTCTTACCACTTACAGTTACAGTAGCGGACGACTGGCGTGGTGGCAGCCCGTGGTCAGTGGCATGAACCATTACATTACATTACAGTTTTGCCGCTCGCAGTCTTGCCATTACAGTCTTGCTACTTACAGTCTCACCACTTACAGTAACAGTAGCGGACGACTGGCGTGGCGGCACTCCGTGGTCAGTGGCATGAACCACTAGGCTGTGCTTGCTGATGGCCTCTCTGTCCACTAGGCCGATGGTCCTGATGGTCCCTGTGTGGTCGATGCCGAAGTGAGGACTTGATCCTCTCCTACCAGCGAGGCTGTAGCGAACCAAGCCATTCCTGTTCTGTGTTCTCGACATAAAGCGGTTCTGCGTTGTATTCTTAGAGTTAATGCAGTCAGGAAATAATGCTTGAGGTTTATGCTTAAGAATTGTGAATAAGTTGAGGTTACGAGCAGAAATAAATATCGCTGGAAACATGTACGTGATGATTGTGGCTACGACATGATAAATTATAGTACAGACCATTGCAGGTTGGGAATCGACAAAATATTTATCATGGAAAATTTTATCTGATATTTTATTTACAGAGCTAACATATAGAGGGAATGAGTGAGAACGTGAACGGAATAAATCGGAATTACAAAGTATTACTGTACAAAAAAAAAATAAGGCAAGAAGTTCCTAATTACAACGCATTAAAAGTTACGCATTTACGCAGGAACGAGTGTGGCACTGTCGTTTCTACTATTTTATATATTTTCATTTGTCTGACTTAGCTAAACAAAGTATAAATTAATGCAACCAAATCCACATTAAGCGATTCGCCTCCAGAAGAACTCAAGTCACTTCGTCATCGGGGTCGGTTATATATAAGAACTCATGTCACTTTACTCACTTCGTCCAGATCGAAGGCAGGCACTTTGGCCACCACCGTTCCAAGTGGCGCGTCTTCGCTGATCCGCACGCTTTGCTGAACATTTTCGAATGATGGAGCGTTGTCGTTAACGTCTAATATGCGCACTATGACGGTCGCTTCGCCCACCCTGTACTTGTTCTCCCATGCATCCGTTCCCTAAAACATTCAAAAAATAAATTAAAGAACATTCGGAAGGTATACATTGAACTTCGATCTTTATACCTTATTCATTTCCACCATCAAATAAACTTGGATAACCTAGCTAGAGTAAAACGAGCAAATGTAATCGAACGCCTGAGTGATTTGCAAGATGAAAAGTCAAGAGGAAGCATGTAGGCTTGCATTATTTTGCATAAAATTCTTTCGAATATCATACATATACGATATATTTATTGATTTCAATATTTCAAATATTAAAATATTTCAAATATTAGTACGTAAAGACTTGGTTGCATTGTGCGTTAAATCTACATCTGCGAAGACAATGCAGTAGACAGAATAACAAATACAAGAAAACATTCGAAGCATTGAGAATTAAATCAGATTACATGAATGTGAATTAGAATATATGTATGTGTACGAATGATACTCAAGTTACTGGGCTGAAATAGCGATTTTTGAAGAGAATAGAACGATTGAATTATCGTGTTCGCATAACAACATTACGATGCTGAGCTTCAGTAACTATCAAATCGTCAATCCTATTTTATAACCCTAACTGATTAATTACCTGATCGGTGACTTGAACTTGGAATCTCAAGCCGTCCTTTAGGTCAGGGTTTTCATAATCAAGAGGGACCAGACTCCTGAGCTCAGCGCCATCACCAGCTGTTCGCCCTTCTATTTTCACCATCTGCCAGCCCCTCCCACTATCCGGAGTTACCTGAAGGAAAATATGTAACAAAGGTTTTAAAATTGTAAGCAGACCATTGAAATAAAGAATGAAATGTTCTTGCTTGCGTTCTAAAGCATGAAACATTTGTTGAACAAAATAATTGTTATTCGACCCACTGGGTCAACTCTGATGGCTGAATCTGAAAAATAGCAGGATTGAACATTACAAAAAAATTTTTTGATTCTCATCTCAACGCAGACAAAATGCCCAATCTGTTGCTTTAAAACTCTCAGAATAAAATAATGACATCAGTGAAGGACCGACATGGTTTCTCTATCCCATCATGTCAAATATAAAAATAAGGTAAGTTTCGGTCCCATATCCTACGACTAGAAAAATGAAAGCGACAATTTATCCATCAGCTCTGAGCATTGACGCGAGGCCTTATTTGCTCGTGATATTCAGCTACATTTGAGACCTGTAGGAAAATGCACCGAAATTTTTCAGGTCACAGAATTTGAAAATTGAAGTTCAGAAATTGACAAGATCTCGGTGTAATGATATTCACGGCGACGGTTAGGAATTGTGTTTTTGTGTAGGCAAATGTTATACGGAAATGCATACATATATTTTTGCCTTGGCGTATTGAGAACTAAGAACCATTGGAACGAATTTTTTTTAACATAGATGCAAATGTGGCATCATTGAACAGCCCTGGAGCTACATAAAAGGTGGAGAAATGCGTCGGAGGGGGACGATGGCCGGGACATTTCCAAGTTTGTCAGCCCACAACCAAGACTTGTTTATCAAAGTAATAAACTAAATTATTGAATAAATTCTACGTAAAATGGAGTACATTCCTTCAAGTTTTATTCCCGATTACATTATCACGTAGGAGAAAATCCCGAGACAATTATCTAAAAAAAATAATAATTTACATTTTTAATAACCCGTCAGATCTCTATGTTCATTGTATCAAAACTGTGTAATTATTATTAAAATATTTATATCATATCCCGAAAAAACTGGGAACACTTTAATTCGTGATCATTAAAGTTAAAATGAAATCAAATTACCGTAAAACCTTTAATGCAACTTCTTATCCTTATCGAACTAATCGTACGGAAAATTTCTTATAAAATTAACGTATTCAGAATATTTATTAACACCAAATCTTTTAACAAACTTCAAAATTCAAATTCAGAGGAAAACTCATCATTTCGAGACCGCATTAGAATATCATCGCTTCATTTAATGTTGACAGAAAATTAATCGTTTCCTTACTAAACCAAGTCAAATTACTCGTATGATACGGATGACTCGTTTCTATAATTTAAAAATTGGAAACAATTAAAAACTACTTTTCAGTCAACTTAATTCGTGCAGTGAAATATTGTAGTTGAATGCAGAAATGAATACAAATTAATTACGTATATGGTGCCATCGAAACTGTATTTGACTACAAACTTTCCCAACGGCCACTACAGTCATTGAGGCTTGCACCGAATTGGAATCAATAAAAGCTAATTATTGCTCATAGACCGAGCAGGCCTTGCAGAACTGAGCCTCTACAGCCTCAGACATCGCGCACCAAGTTTAGTTTGAACATTGCTCGACATAATTATTCAAATGCGGTACATACAATATCATTGAGGAGCAGATTAATTTAATTTATAATCAACGTTCTGTCACTGTTTATTAAATTGAACAATTCGGATGAGTAAATATTTGAACGGCACAGACTCTGGTAGGATTGAACAAAATCCACGGAGATGACTCCTAAGATTCAAGTATCTCCGTTTACAAAAGTTGTTTAAAATGTTGACTCCGAAGTGGTACATATGCGCAACACGAAGTTTATTTCTCAAGGACGTTATGATACATAGTTTAGGGTTGCCAGATGGCCTAAAAACGGCCAAGTCCGGGAACAAAAAAGGCAAAAAAGGCAAATAACTCAATATATAGTGGTAAATATTTAGGTTCCGCTGTAAAATTCCATTTCATTTTTTTGCAATTTTTTAATTTTAATTAGGCAGAACCTTATCATACATTTTAGCCGGCTAATGCAATGGCAAAAAACTAAATCGCCGGATTTGACCGGAAAAAAACCGTCCGACAATATATTCTGCTCCATAATGGTACAAAAAAGAGGAAACAATAGTACAAGACGAAGCAATCGGAGTCAACGTGTTAATTTAGTAGTAATGGTTGGTAATGGTAACATCCAAAAGAGTAACATAATTCTGAAAATATTCCTAAAATAGTTTACGGAGATGGGGGTAATGGTAAAGCAAAGACTCAAGATTGGACAATGAATTTGTACTGGTAGTAGCTTATGGCAGGGGACAACAGGCGAGTAATATGCAAATGACCCGTAATTATAAAAAGAACAGAAACTACCTTGTCAGATGAGCAGCTCTGTGAAGTCAACTTTTCTTCAAGAATCTAATAAGTTTATTAAGATAAAGCAGATATTTCTGATGAAGTGACATGAAGCAACGTAAATTACCCTGTAGGCCAAACTGTTGCGGGTGTCTGGGTCCTTAACAGTGAGGGTAGCGAAAACCTGGTCGAGGGGCGCGCCCTCGGTAACCTCGACTGTCCACTCCGCTCGCCCCCACCGCGGAGGAACGTCGTTCTCATCCGCCACTAACACCAAAACTTCACAGGAACCTGCAGTGGGCGAAAAATGGAGTCGGGTGAGTTGTGTTGGCAGCAGGAAAAGTTTAAAGTTATTGAAAACTTGCGAATAATAAATACCGAATTTATTTTCGGCAGAGAAACAGAGGCAAAGATAAAGATTTATGAGAATATTGTTCAAAAAATCATCATACACTATTATAAATAAGGAAATATTTATTTTATTCTAAATAAGTAGACGCTCACAGTAAATGTCTGTCTTTAAAATAACTCTCATGAATGATCGCTATATTAATATCCACAAACAGCCTTTTTGGCGGAATTTTTAAAATTCATTATATAGGAAAAATTCTAAATTTCACAATGCAGTTCATAAACAATTCAATGCGGAGCTCATATACAACGACGGTGGTTAGGAATTGAATGCAATCTTCATGTTTAACGATACATTATTCGAGTCATAAATACATATTATTCTTATTGGTATTGAGTATGGACGTGGAAATAAATCTTAGCAAATTATTCATCAAAATATTTTCAATATTAGTCATGGAGTGATGGTTTGAACTTAAAAAATTGCAAGTAAATATAGAGTTTATCATTTATAATTCATTATAGTGAAATTTGTCATGTTATGAAAATTATTCATATAGGGCACTGGAAATACTTTTTGAAAAGTAATCTGTAAGTAGCGTTTAAATTGTATTTAACCTTATCAGTGTGAAATTACTTTAAAATTAACATTCCTAATTCCGTAAGATATATTTCGTTGAAGTAGACAATTACTAACCTTGCAATCCACCTCCATCTGTAGCAGCAACAGTTAGGCTGTAATGACTCGCACGTTCTCTGTCCAGACAACACATGGCTGTGCTGATACTGCCTGTCGAAGCATTGACGGTGAAAATTGCCAGGCCAGTTTCTTCGTCCACAGCATTCTTTTGCAACGAGTAAATCAGCTTAGAATTGGACCCTTCGTTCTTGTCGTCGAAGTCTTCGGCTGTTATCGTGACTACAGGCGTGCCTGGTTTACGGCAGAAAGCAAACGAGGTCGGTTATGGCGACGGCAAATTCCCAAGCGACGAGCTCTGACGGTGAGTGCAATATGTTCAAAAAGGTAACCTTAAGGAAGAATCAAAGCACTTGTGTTTGCAGAGAATAAAATGCTCTATAGGGAAAATGATGCCTTCGCATTCCTCAATTCCACGAAATTCTCTGAAAGGCGCCGCGAAGGCGTTAAAGGCCTCCATTAGAATAATGCACTGACATTGCATCTTCAAGATGAAAGGTTTAGAGCTTTTGCAAGCTGTCGATTGCTGCCGAACAAAAGAGCATTAAGGGCTTCCCAGCTCTTGAGAAAAATGTTGACACACTGAAGTCAGCTTGATCATCTGTTACCATTGTCTTTAAAGGCGCTGATCGCAAATTGTTCCTGTATTCATTATTTTTGTTATTATTATTGTTATTATTATTATTATTATTTATATTATTATTACTATCAATACTATTATTATTATTAAAGAGTATAATAATTTAAAAAAGTTCAAGATATTAGAGTTCAAAGTAAAGTTTACTATTTCTGTTGACTAAAATACGCACATAAATTAATTAGTTAAATCACCTCATCAATATGTCTATATACCAACAAAATTTGTGATGTATTTTATAAAACGTTCATAATTGTAAACGAATGAGAATTATTTTTCACCACCATTGAATTTTTCACAATTTTGGAATTTTTCACCACGACGAGGCTTGTTCACAAATATAATCTTAATTTATAAAAAGAATCAAGAAAAGCAACAATGAATTCCAGTTGTACTATAAAATTATTTTTATCCTAAGTCCGTGAACAGATAGCAGCAGCAAATCCTACAGCAAATAACTCACCGCTAGGAGAGTCCTCAATAACCGTAGCCTCGACACGTGCAGTAAGGAACAACACTGATCGCAAAATGTTCCTGTATTCATTATTGTTATTATTATTATCTTTATTATTTTTATTATTCAATATTATTACTATTAATGCTATTATTATTGTTAACGAGTATATCAATTTAAAAAAGTTTAAGATATTAGAGTTCAAAGTAAAGTTTAAAGTTTAAAGTTTAGTTTCTGTTAGCTAAAATGAACACGTGAATTAATGTTGAAATCACTTCATTAATACTTCATTCATCACTCCATTAATACTACATTAAACGATTACCAACAAAATCTGTGATGCATTTTATAATACGTTCGTAATTATCAACGAAAGAAAAGTATTTTCCACAACCATTGAATTGGTATAAACCTTGAGTCTTGTTCACCAATATAATCACAATTTATAAAAAGAATCATGAGAAGCACAAATGAATTCCACTCGTACTACAAATTTCTTTTTATCCCAAGACCGTGAACGGATGGCTCCTACAGCCAAAAACTCACCACTAGGAGAGTTCTCAATAACCGTAGCCTCGACACGTGCAGTAAGGAACACGGGGCTCCTACAGCAAATAACTCACCGCTAGGAGAGTTCTCAATAACCGTAGCCTCGACACGTGCAGTAAGAAACACGGGTGCGTTGTCGTTAATGTCTTTGAGGTTGACCACAACTTCGGTGTCGGCTTGCAGCTCCCCGTCTGACGCGGTCACCACCAAGCGCCACGTTGCACGCCCGTGAGGCGGATCGCGATCTAGGGGCTGGTGAAGGTGAACAATTTTATGGAGTTCATCTTTCCTGGGGTGATCAATAATTTCAGAACAATCGTTTGTCAATCCAGGAATAGTATAATCAGGATCAAAATATTACACTTGTAGAGTAATTCACCAAGATAATATTATAAGAGGAAGGCAGCGAATTGACTAAAGTGAAAAAATAGTTATAGAAAAGTCATTTAGTTAGAAAAATAGAAAAGTCAAAGAAAAATAGAAGTCATTTGGCGCTCATATAGTATTAAGCAGTGGCTGCTGCACCCGGCTCTGTTTGGGATAGATAATCCCTGCTTGATATATGTTAATTCTGTTAGGAAATCACATTTTTTATATCATTTACTCTGATACTCTTCCCTAAAATAAAATTTCCACGAATTTTGTCTTCAATATACGTGAACAATTTTCAAACTTGACGTAATGCATATTTAAAAGATCCGTTATAGGGATGGACCTTTATGCCCTTAATTAGATCCGTTTGGTCCTTACGTGGCATGGAAGTTCCATTATAAATTTTCTCAATCCCTTCCCGTTTTATGTTGACTCATGGTTCCAATTATAGGTACACACACAATATTTCCAGCACCATTATTTAAACACACAAGCATTCACAGATATTTTATTGATAGTTCTAATTCTAATAAATATTTTATTCCTCTCTAAACGTTGCCACTTCGATGAGCATATAAATTAAATATCGATAAGCGCCACAACATATCATCGAAACGCCAGCAAAGATTAAACAATACCCACCTGCATGACTTTTATTGTGCCTGTGACCGGATCAATTGAGAAGGCAGCTTCTTTTCTCTTCTCCCATGAATGAGTGTCCTGAAAATGTTCACTTTCCGAAGGGAAATATGGATCTATAGAAGAGAAGTTATGATTGCCTTCACTTGGAACTGTGTTATGCAATGTCGTAGGAAAGCCTTCTATAACTCTATGAGAATTGTGTACGGCTGATTTTGGGATATTATCGGTAGAAAACAGGACCTTTCCAGCTTTATTAGTTCTGTTTACTGCACTTGAGTCGCTATTTACAGTCAGTTTATCGCTATTTAGATCTATTTGATTACTAGCTATGGATGCATTAGCGCCATTCACTGCTCCACCTCCTGGATCCAGGAGAGGTGGCGACCGGTAATGTCCTTCGTTCTTCATAAACAAAGTCGCAACTCTGCGTTCGGTATTCGGTTTATGCTGTCCGGCTCGGTCACGGGGCATTTTTTCTCGTCGCTTGTGGCCATATTCGATCGAGGAGGATGCGGCTGAGATCTTCATGCCGGGGAAATGATCTGACCTTGGGAGGTTATCAGGAGCTGCGGTACCGTCCCCAGAAATAGAATACCGCAGCACTCCCCACTCTCCCTTGTCTCCATCGGTAGCTGTAACCTGCCCTCGAAAAATTCTGTACGTTGTATTTACGATTAAGTGTGAATAGCGATGACTGTAAGCCTCAACTACGATAAAAACAACAATTATAATATCTTGGAAATTTAAATAAGGAGAAAATACTAATGAACGCAATATGATTTGCACAGTATACATTGACAAAACTCCTCTTTTAGCATACCAAATTATCCCTCGAGACCCAAGCTTACTTTTTATAATATCAGTATTAATAAACAAATTAATTAATTAATGGAAATAATGCTACAGAAAATACTACAAAGCCGCTCAATATTTTCAATATTCAAATAAAAATATAAACGGTTTTGAGGTCAGCGTCATCATCTGTTCAGTCAGTGACTTAGTCTTCCAATCGCATCCAGTGAAGTCCGGTGGCCGAACTTTCAAGACTTTCCCAAGTACACGTAGCGGCCTATGCACACGTAGCGGCCTATGCACACGTAGCGGCCTATGCACACGTAGCGGCCTATGCACACGTAGCGGCCTATGCACACGGAGCGGCCTATGCACACGGAGCGGCCTACGCACACGTAGCGGCCTATGCACACGTAGCGGCCAATTTTTGTCTGTGATTGATGGGTTTAGCTTGAAAAGCCGTCAGTGATTGGTCGATGGAGCCAAAAATCTTGACTATTCATAATACTACGATCACAGTCTGATGGACATTTTGTTTATTTTATTCACCTTTAAATTCCGGGTTAAAACACAGGGAACTGTTCAACCAGTAGTTTAGAAAATGTCAAGCATTTTGTTAAAAAGCCTAAATTCCTCAATTTCAGGTCACATGTTGATTTTACAACACTTCTCTTTAACTTCACTCTTTATTTGTCTGCTACAAATCTTATAATCGATATTTAACACACTTCCACCTTTCCAATCGATCTGAAATTTTGCACACTTGCGTAAATTCGGAGTCAATTCATGAATCAATTGTCAGAATATATAATTTTGAACATTTAATTTTTGTATTATCTAAAAAATTAAAAATTATTTTTTAATATGCGAAAATAAAATTAGAAATTCATTGTACCTGTGTAACATCGGAGATACTGGATTCTTTAGAAGTGTTTTCTTTAACAAGTAATTTTTAAACGCATAAATTTAACTTAATTGATACCTGACAATTGAATGAAAACGTTTAACTGAATTCAAGATCTAATAATTGCGATTATTTATGGTGAAAAAACTTACAATATAAACTGACCGTAAATACCGGTCTGGGCAGGTTGTGGTTATCTTCTTCAGTTATTTGCGCCTCATGTCGCTGGACGGCGAAGACTGGCGAGTGATCGTTGGCGTCAAGCACCTCGACTGTCACGTGAGCTTCGTTGCTGCCGATCTTGCCATCCTTGCTCGTTGCTATAACCGTCAGGTTGTGCTGAGGAAAGAGAAAGCCCCCATATTCTATAAACGCCCGCATATTCCATAAACATCCGTAAACAATGTTGAATCTATTCTCGTTGGATCATATTCTTATATTTTTGCAGAAATGTTATCCCAAAATACAAAGTTTACCAAATAATCCCTAACAAAAAATATTATGTACTACCAAATATCAATGCTGTCCATCAGCCCCTCCGTATTCATATATAACCACCTCAACCTTCGGCTATCATCCACTTTGTTCAGAAATGATCTCCATGCAAGTCTCAGCGCAATTTCTTCATCCAATTGACTTGCAGAAACCCTTGTGTCGTGGCTGCTGCCCTCAACCACCCCTCTGATGGCACGGCACTCGAGTCTCTCCCTCACCTGAGTTTGGTACTCGAAGTCGAGGGGACCAAGCAGCTGCAGGGCGCCTGACTGAGCGTCCACTCGAAAAAGAGGGGAAGCGCTGTCGCTCGCAAGCTTGTAGCGCACGGCCGCCTCTGCCGGGAGAGATTCCGAGGTTCTCATGATTATGCGCAATTATATTGATTGATAAGAAAAGTCTGGGCAACAGCCCGTCGCAGGTAGAAAACATTAAGAAATTTGATAAATGATTGCTGTGGGGGAGAATAAGCCATGCTTGGCGAAACATGTGCAATGAATTTCATTGCGGTTTCCCTTTGTAAAATCTCTCATGGAACGACTGGTTTCTCAGGGTGGAATAATTTGACACGCGTCGTGGTTCTTGCCAACGGTTTCTGGCGAGCACGAAATGTTCATTAGGGAAATATATTAAGAACAACGCAAGCATATAAAGTTTTTACATGATAATTATACGTAGCGCATGGCAAGTATTTCAGGCAGGAGTTGAGTGGATACAATTCGCTAAATTATTGAGGTTCTGCCTACGCGACTTTCATCGTCAAGTGCTGCCTCGCCCAGCTGAAATGCCAGGGTAAGTTATGGTCCGGAATTATATATAGGGCCATAACTAAAATTTTACATTGAGAGGACAGGCGAAAAGCCTTAACAACTTTTCTAAATAAATCTTATAAACATGGTAAACGACGGCAAAATAAATTTCTAAAATTTCCATCATCGGCAAAGGTGATGAATGAGGGAAAAAGTAAAGTAACCCCCGCGATACAAAGAATAATAATAATAATGAAACGCCAAAAATAGTGGTTAATTCCACGTACCTGGAATATTGACTGGAATAGGTAAAAAAATAGACCGTTGCCTGTCTAAAAACCAAAGTTTGTAAATACAATAATATTATTACAATATGATATAATATTACATAATAATAATATAATAATATTACAAACAGTGAGTACTTGTTAGGCTCAAATCAATTTATGAGTACAAATGAGCCCAATTTTGTGGATTGGATTTGTAGACACAGTGAGTAACCGTCTTTTTTCTGTACATGAACTTGCTTCAGATCTGAGAAAAAATGATCTTATTATTGCTGGAAATTGAAACAGCTAATACCATTTAGGACTATATTTATCTCATTGTAATGTTTGTTTGATTTGTTCTTGAATCAACCTCCTTGCCTCATTTGTCTTCAAGAAATCGCGGGAAACAATTAAAAAGAGTTATACTTTCGCTTTTATCAAGGATCTAGGTTAGCCGCGCGAACATATTCATTCTATAGATAATATCATGAAAATTCATTGATACAATAATATTACGGTCGCATATACTCTTTCTCATAATAAACTCTTCATAATAATTAACCTTCACTGATGATTCATAGGAGTAAACCATTTAATGCAAAACAAATTGTTTAAGGTGCATAAATTTGTTTAAGATTTCTTCTGAATCTTCGAGGCCTATTGAGCATATTTATCGTGATGCAAAATTACATTATGTTATAATGATAATTACACTGGTGCCTTTAGAGAAGCCGACCGCGGCGCTGAACAACATTCCCAATGCAATCTCTGAGGGTTAATGTAATTTTATTTCGAAAAGCTTTCAGGGAGCACGAAGTTTAAACTTGCGTGCAAAATATGCAGGATTGAAAATTCGATTCATATATTGATGAAACTTTTTACCGATATCTAAAATGCTAAAAGCTTAAAGGTTATTGTTGAGACTGCTTAAGCTATTAAACATAATAATAATAATAATAATAATAGAAAACTAAATTTCAAACTTTAAACACATTAATTCCAACTCCCGTAATTCGCATTTGAGTAAATAACTTCTAAAGACGTAGGTCTTTAGCACATAAATCACCAGTGTCTGACTGACCTTTTATTAAAGATGTACAGAACGTTTCAATTGTAAAATAAAACATTTAACTGGAGCCAGATAGGCAAACACCGATTTTCCAAAGTTTCATAATTCTAAAGATAACCATGCGTTAAAATATAAAACTTTTAATTAGACGATCAGCATGTGATAATTCTGCGCTGGTGCTACAGATATATTTTGCCGACTTAATCACGATTATAGCCGCATAAATGAAAGGATACATTTTCATCTAACACCGAACGTTCAATTGTATATTGTGATCTAGAATCAAGAAAACAGAAAATTAATGATAGTTTCTAAAAACAGTACCAATAAAATATTATCCGGGATTATAGACTAGGAACAAAAGTTACTTCATAGGTTAAAACAACGTACGAAAATGTCCGTACCATCATCAGGAGAAACTGCCTGTAGTAGAAGTATGGTGCCCGGGGCGGCCGCCTCAGAGACCTGCACTACGTAATTCTTCTGGCTGAACTGAACCGACTGGCCGCTCATGAGCTGCGTCACTGCAACGCAAGGTTTAGTCTGCAGGCTGTGTTCTAATTTGCATTGAGATTTACTTATTTGGAGCTTTATACTGAGAATAGCATGCGAATAGTGAATGTTAGTTGGCGCAGAATATTATTCACTTTCACTGAGAATTCCCCTTTAGTCATTCACAAACATCAATTCCCTGCTATTTTCCTTTATAAAATTCAGCTAAAATGTTCTCAAAAATTAATATAAATCGTCAAAAATATGAGTCAAAGCACAAATGGTAAGACAAGGGCAATGAATAGATTTAAATTAATTCTTAAGCAACCATGGTTGACGTTGTATAATTTACGAAGCAGCGAATGCTTAAATTTCTTAAAACTTTAATTTGAAGGCCAAAAACCCGAATTAATGGCAAAGATTCCAATACTAGTTGTGCAATATCTTACTACCAATTATTGTTATCTAATTGTTGTACTGACATCAACCTGTCATGAAAGCATTACCACGTTCAGCATCACTGCTTGCTTGAGAAGAACATTTAAACTTTCCGAATAAGTCGATGTATTGACCTTAAAAACGAATTCAAAAACCCATTTTCACGCTGTAACTAAAAAAATTAGGTGAGTGCTGGCGTAATTCATTTTCTGTCGTTCATCTCTAAAGCTGTAAAAAGTTTCATATGTTTTTCTACACTCAGTTAGAAGGAAACTTAATCGAAAATTCTCCACAAAACGGTCTCTTACAACAGTCTACACCGGCGCAAAAAATGAAGCAGCACGATTGCCTCTGCAGATGGATCACTTGTTTTTATTTCAGGCAGCCAACAATCAATCATAAGAGAACGATCATGTGCATG